TAATTTTCTTTATTCAATTTCCGGAAGTCTTTCTTGTCGGTACACTGCTGTTGGCGGGTGTGTGGCCTTCTGGCACAAATGGGACTTTCTTTTATAAATGGTTATAGACTCGAAGGGAAATAAGCTACTCGTCTTTACACCCGGAGGCAGCGTGTTAGACCCTTTACCCCCAGCCCTCGTACTCCTGGAACAGCGTGGAAGTGTTCCAGTGGTGTACTCGCTATAAGGAAGCACACAACTTCCTTTCTTGTCCTCTAAGAGGTAGCACATATTTTTTTTGTGGCGGATTCTTTTTTGCCGACATTTCCGCGGTTTTCTGTGACATTTCCGATGAAAAGTTGGTATTCTCAATTTCTAACATTCTGTTTAAAATAACATTCTCATCCAATTTTTGCTTCTGATTTGGTTTTTTAATGATAAAACTGATGCTTCAGCTCTAAATTCAGCGTTCCGGAATCTACTTACTCCCCCGTCACTTCGTTGTATCTTTTTGTGCCTTAATGGCAATTCCCCTCCCTGCCCAAGACGTTTTTTGTTCTGATCGATTCAGTTTTAATGCCTTTGTTGCAGATATGCACTGCAGAAAATATGTATTGACGAGGGATTGTCTGTGTGTGTCTGTGTGTTAGTGTTTGCGTCTGTCGCGATTTTTCATCCCAAGATCTACAAAAGCTACAGGGCTGAAACTTTGGGAACTTAATCTATAGGAAGGTACGGGCCCCAACCCTCAAAATGGGCGCTCTTACCCGCGTGGTACCCGCGTACGGGTCCATGAAAGTTTTTTGCGGGTAAACTGCTAACCCGAGAAACAGAAAAGCTAGGAAGCTAAAATTTTGAGGGAATCTTCCGTGTCCGCGTAAGTCTTAATGAGCCCAAAACCAGCCCTCGGTTATGCGGTAATGCGTACGGGCTCGCCAAAATTTTTTTCGGGTAAGTCCTTAACTCGAGAATTTGAAAAGCTAGAAGACCGTAATTTTAAGGGGATATTCCCCGTCTTACGAGTCTCAATGAGCTCAAACCTAGACGCCGGGCATGCGTGGTAACCAGGTACGGGCCCGCAAAAGTTTTTTCGGGTAAGTTGATAACTCGGGAACTTGAGAAGTTAGAAGACTGAGATTTTGAAAGGATGTTTCCTGACAGTCCTGGCGGCCAGTATGAAATTCTTCTGGCTAGAAGCATGTGCCGGAAAAAACAGTGTCGTTAGCGATAAAAATCTGCGGGAAATTGTGCAAAAAACGCATTTTCGCACGGGCAGCCCGTGCGTTGGCCAATTATTTTGTGTTTTTTGTGCGCTTTTGCTTGTAAGCAAACGCGCAAAAAACACGCACACACATACACACACAGTCACCGGGATGACTGTGTGTGTGTGTGTGTATGTGTGTATGTGTGTGCGTCTGCCCTGGTATTTCAACTCGGCACCCAAGCAAGCTTTGGCGCTGAAATTTTGCCAGTGGATTCCCCAATTAAATGCCGTCCCAGTACCGCGGTACTAAGCCTCATGCAAGCCTGGGCCCTGCGCACGATAGGGTGAAAGTTTTGGCGAGAAAATTGCTAACTTGGGAACGAGAAAAGCTAGAAAGCTGAAATTTTGAAATTGTGTCATTCGTCTAAATAGAACTCAAAAATTTCAAATTCAGCACCGAGGCATGCGTAATTCCGGCGTACGGCCTCGTGAAAGTTCCTGGCGCGAAAATCGCTAACATGGGAACCAGGAGGGGCAGGGAGTTGAAGTCTTAAAAGAATGTCCCCTGGCCATGTACAGCTTAAATTTACCAAATTTAGCACCCATGCATGATTGGTTGTCACATGCGGCCCCGTGAAAGTTTTTGGCAGGAAAATGGCTAACTCGGGAATCAGGAAAGTTAGGAGGCTGAAATTTTCAGAGAATGTTTCCAGCAAAAGCATAACAGAAATTTATCAAATTTAGCTCCAGTGTATGCGTGGTTGTCACGTACGGCTACGTAAAATTTTTTGGTCGAAGATGGCTAACTCGGGAACCAGGTAAGCCGGGAGGCTGAAGTTTCGAGGGAATGTTTCCAGCCCATGTACGACTTAAATTTACCAACTCAGCCCCGGGTGTTCGTAGTTGTGACGTACGGCCCCACAAAAATTTTTGGCAGGAGAATTGCTAACTCAAGAACCAAAAAAT